CCCCAAAACCCCAAAACCCCAAAACCCCTCTATGCAAATATATGCTATGATTAGATAAGATAATACATAGCGGAATTTTGCATTAATTAGTATAAAACTTGTTTAATAATGGATTAAGTTCACTTAGCATTGACAATTCATAAGTATTATTAGGGCTACGACTCTTAGAATAAGAGTGAATTAGAGTACAATCTCAATCAACTAGGTATGAACATGACTTAACCTACTTTCCCCTAACCTAATTTGCTTTAGAACAAAACAGAGACGTACATCTTGGGAATATAATGAAAATTTTAGTTGACAATTAGAGTCAAGATATAGGTAAGTCCCATTTTCTGAATAAGTGTCTAATATGCGTTCTTTGATGCCTGTTTATGGCGATTTACTGGCAGAGTTTGACTTATTTTATAGCTGAATGCAAGATGACAGTGGCAATTTACCTTAGAAACTACATTCGCAAGATTTTCAGCACAGGAATGCAAGGATTGTCGAGTGATTATTTGCAGGGACTTCTGAGTCTCTTCTATCAAGCATTAGTTGAATAAGCAGTTGAGTTCAGCATTAAAAAGCATATATTCTTGGTGTTCGAGAGCGTGCTACTCGTCTACCAAGGTTAGGAGGGTGACCATAATAAAATGCTGGCCTTCTACAATGAGTTATTCAACTCCATTGAAACCATTCTGGGCCAAAATAGTGATGCGAATGTCACCAAGGGAGCTCTTTTAATTTGCCAGGCAGTCCTACTTAATATCAGACCTCTTTCAATGCTTACCAAAGTATTCCCAGGCATTTCAGCACTCCTTTGCAAACTAGCAGATCACTTTATCTAGAGTTTATCAACTGAGCTGATGGCTATTCCAGGGATGACTTCACTAGAGACAGATAACCCTTCAATCGTGAGAATAATGACCTATTTGGACATTTTGCAGCAGTGGGCGAACATTCACGAGAGCATTTTAGAGCGCTACGAGTCAAAGAAGTTCTTCGCATTCCACTTGTTCACCCAAGACAAGGGCTACGCTGTAGTGTTCACTCAGCTAATTGGAGTGATTGTGCAAGCACCTAACCAAGATGTGAATAGTTTTATCAGCATCACTGGCTTTGAAAAGCTAGATCAGTTGCTCAACAATATCAAAATCAAGACTCTTGAATGCCTTAACTCTATCTACAACTATATTCTCAATGAGATACCAAACACCACAAAACTAGAATCACCATTCCTAGAGAAAGGGCTTACTTTGTGTCCATACTTCATTCAAACTCTATTATCAGTGGCATCTAGATAAGACATATAAAACTTGATATTGAATGAAACATACCAAGATATCTTGGTGGAAACCATGCAGACTCTTGTACTCTTCGTTGGAGACAAAGAGTTTTTCCACTTGATTGTAGATAAGCAGAGAGAGCTTTTAGTTTGTGTATGTCTAAACTTCCTAAGAACCTCAGCCTAGGAGTATGAGCAGATGACTTCAGACCCTGAGCAGTTCGTGAGTCTAGCTCTTGACACCTGTGACAAGCAAAAGAGCAAGGTCGTAAAGACACAAGCAGCCAAGCTCATTGAAGCACTTTGTGATAGTGTTGATGGCTCAGTCTCCTTCATCACTCTCTTCTGCTGTCAAGCCATTAATGTTGCTCTTAACAATGGGCAAGTGCAGTCTCACCCCTCAGTTGACTTTGCAGTATTTTAGCAATCTCAATTCATGTAGTCGCCACCAGAGATAATTGCTGAGACATGCTTAGTAGCATTGACAGCTATTTCCTACATTCTTCCCCGCAGAGCTGACCTGGTGCCAATCTTCGACAGTGCCTTAGCCACCAACATCGATTAAATCCTGTCCAAAGGATCAATTCTCCTCAGAGCAAGAATGAGTCTATTACTAGGCTACTACGCAGACATGCTCTTCTCCAACCATCGTCAAGCCTTCATCCAAACCATTGACTTCCTTATCCAGAGTGTCGGCCTTGTGCAAAAGGAGAAGGTTATCGCTATGCAGAGTGCAGATACTCTGAACACAATCATTAGCGATAAGGATCTTATTCCAAGACTTGCTGAAGAAATTCCTAGAATAACTCAAACTCTTATGGAGTGCAACATGAGAATCAATATTGTACTTTACTTCAACTTTTTGAGAGATTTCGTCAAGTACTATCAGAACTATATTGGCGACTTGATAGTCCCCTTCATCCAAAGTCTAGTTTAGCGTATACTGTTAGAACTAAAACTTTGTCATGAGAAAGGTGAGCGAACCAACATAGTAGTGAACAAGTGCTGGAACATCATTCGCCAGATCATTGAGCTTCACACCTTCATTCCAAACTATTATGCTCAAATTGAAGAACAGCTGAAGCCGCTCTTTGAATTCATGGTCGATCCTACTCACATAGAATTCGAGGATGATATCGTTCTTACAATCAAAACTTTCCTTAAGAAAACCTAGGCAGTATCGCCAACAATGTGGACTCTCTTCCCACTACTCGTTAAAGTCTTTGAGAAGTCAAAGTTCGTATTCGGCAATCTACTAAACACTATCAATTACTACTTGCTATATGGCAGAGATCAAATCTCTCAAAACAGATAGTACCTCGAAATATTAGTCGGCCTTGCACATAAGTCACTATTCTCCATGGAGCCCAATATCGTCACTCAAAACTCAGAAGGTGCAATCCTCCTTCAACTCTTATTCCAAGTATTCGCAGGATCCTAATGTTTGAATGAGTTCTTCCAAGAAATAATGGTGATGACTATGAACAGACTGACTACAGAGCCAATGTAAAACAGCTTGAAACGCCACTTGCTCTGCGTCTACTTATCAGCATTCGTCTACAATCCAAACTTTACTCTTGAGTATCTAGAGTCCATCCAGGTGACCAGCAAGATGTTCCAGCAGATCTTCCATCTAGCAGGCTCTTTCAAGAACTTATATGAACGCAAGATATTCATTTTAGGACTCAGTAATATCCTCACTGCAAGTCAACTCACTCCAGAGATCCAAGGAAACCTTCTCAAAATCATCTAGGAAATCATTCAAATGCTCAACAAGCTCAAGAAGACCGAAGATAATGCTTTGAAGAAGGCAGGAAAGAGAGAGATTAAGCAGTCAGCTGAAGAAGAGGATAATGATGATGATGAAGATTACGAAGACTATGATGAGGATAGCGAACTCGAAGATGATGACGACGAGGACGATTCAGACGAGGACGGAGAAGACGATGATGAAGAAGAGGCAGTTGATGGAGAACCTACAATGAAAGATGAAGATCAAGAAGAAACTAAGGAACAAACTGAGCCCAAAAGATCAACTAAGGTCAAGGCCAGTGCAGATGCAGATACAGACGACGATGAAGACGCCGATGAACTTGTAAGTTGCAGCATTATATGTCTAATGTATATATAGTTTGATTTGAATGTCACTATGGACATGCTACAGTCTCCCTTCAAAAAGGCTGATGAGTTTGCCTTCTTCAACAAGATACTATCCACACTGCACTCTCAAAATGCCCAGTATTTAAATAACATTGTCGGCTAGTTGTCAGAGGAAGATAGGAAGTATTTGTAAGAGCATATGTAAACAAAAAGAATTGAAATCGAATAGAAAGGCATTAAGTAAGAAGTCGCAAGAAGAATTGTTAAGGTCAAAAGAAGAGGAGTTGCATAAAGTGCCTCAGGTGAACAAATAAAATAGTGAAGCAGCAGAATTAAAGTATATATTTTTAGTGCTACAATTACTGCAGCTGAAGAATGAAAGTTTAATAATTTATTATCTTATTAATAACCAAGATTTGCTCTGTAATTTTCTCAGTGGGGTTTTGGGGTTTTGGGGGATGGAGCCATACTCTCTGAGATCATC